TTTTCTTGCTACTTTAAACCAATAGTGATATAAAGATATGTATAAACGTATATATATTTTTTTTTAAAAAGGTCGGGTGGGGGTCAGGTGATAAATTCAGTCTCAGTACCGCCCACTTGTCCCCTCCGACTGCCGCACAGAGGGGGATGCACACGGTCCCAAACGAACCACGGCTAAAAGTTCCGAAAGACGGGAGAATTCATACCTTTGACTTCCCCAGTATTCGGCGTAGCGTACTTTTCCTCTGTCCCAGTTAAACTACGCTCGGTGAACTGTCGTGGTTTTTGTAGGAAGAACACTTCAGACAGAGTCCAGCCCCTTTTTTCGCTCGGTGATGTCAAGTTAGAGATGCATTTGTTTCCGGTATGTTTTATTTATTTATTTATTTTTTTAGAAAACGCAATTTTGGCTACATTTTATGCCAGAAAATACAAATACACATACATTCAAATATTAATAGCATAAAAAAAATATTTTCATTTCATTCAAAATTCGATCACTGTAATTTTAGAAGTGCAGCCAGTGATATTATTGTGAAATTACCTACTTCCGCTACAATCTTTCCTAGTGTATTTTACTTTGAAATGTCAAGGGCTGCCCGCCAGGAGAAACTCACCTTGCAGATCCTGAAGCTCGTGCACAGGTGCGTGCACGTAATCAGAGCATGATGAATTGATAAAGGTGACACGTTGAATAAAAAAAAGTCGTATGTCCGCGCACACAAGGCCCGGGATGGTCATCTCTACTTCGATCCTATTCTGCTCCAAGCATTCTATTGGTCTTTTACAAAAACCTATGTAAAGTATGTGTGTATGAAAAAAGAAAAAAAGTGCAAATAATTAATTATTTAAATAAACTAGAAGGGAAAAAAAAAAGGTTTTGCAAACACAGCGAAATGCAAACTCTCAACAGTGAGGGAAGTATGACACCTTATTTCACCTTGCAGAGGCTGCTTTCACCTCCACTCCGCTGACTGTTGGGAGGTCAGTTGTGCACTGATGTCCCTTTCGTGCACACATATATGCTTAGAATGCTTCAATAGCACATCTTTTTATATATGATATATAGGGGTTTTCCAGCGTGTGCATATAAGGCTAAATTATAACCCAAAATTTGAAGCTAAAATTATATTTTTATACATATACTGATGGCAAATGCCAGAAAAAAGAGAACCAGTTACACTGACATTGAGGATATTTCCTCAATATTGTGTCTCGAATGTTACAGGTTTTTAAAGACTTCTTCAAAGGTTTAATAAAGGATAATTACATTCGGATGAAATTATATAGAAGTCTCGTTGACAATTGTATGCCGATTAAAGGACATGATCTCTAGTTTTCAAAAACTGTAAAATAAGCTTGAGGTGTTTGAGGGATGAAATGATCCTACACTGGATCTCCTGCATATTCTAGAACAGCAATAATAATTTACCATACTTTATTTAAAAGTTTGCATTTGCTGATATCAAAACTATCAAAATTTGTGACCTTTTTAGATTTGACATAACCTCATGCTTTACATCACAAATTGTTGAGTGAAGTGTTGCTGTAAAGAGGATAAGATTAGTTGAATCAGCAGTAATGCTAAATTGTTTGGATTTATTTTATTATAGCTTGAACTGTTTCATATTTAGATAGTAAAATATATAGTTATTGTATTTCTACTTGAAATAAAAGATGACTTGCCCGTATAATGTAAAATGAAATATACAAATGTAAAAAAGAGAAAAAAGAAACACAACTATTAATCTATCCACATCTATCAACTAGTAAAGATCCATTCCAACATATTCAAATAATTAATTATGTCTCTACCTAAAATTAAAATTAACTCTTGTCACGGGTTATTTGGTAGGATATTAAGCCCTACAGAAGCTGTTTTTGTGCTGTCACATGCATAAACAGAGCATAAAGTTCTGCCATCTCTGCAAAAAAAACAAAAGAAAAACACAAGAAGAAGATTTTCCATATAGCAACTGCTGTCTTCCCCACTTAAATGACAGTTCATTCTCTATTCTGCTTATTCCCAACAGGGTTGCGAGGGGTCTGGAGCTTATCCCAGCTACCTGAATCACAAAGGTGTGCAACGATAGCTCAACACTGATCTGAAAAATGTGAAAACACCTAGCTACAGATGTTACGAACGGACCTGTGTCTATTCACACCTTAACAGCATGTCAAGTCCCTTATAAATGATACACCTTCAAAGTTATTGGAAATAAGCAAAATTCCAATTTGGATCATGTGACACCGCTATGGCCCAATTTGAGCCTCCCGAACTGGAAAGCTTTTGTCTGAGCGCTGTGTGCTGTCTGAGTTACATGAAGCAGGCCCAAACCCGAACCCTGAACTGGCCCCTTGAAGATGGGATGGTCGACCCACATACCCCTCGCTTCAAAAGCATTTTCTCTCGGCCCCTGAGTGTGCCATACTCTGCGCTCAAGAACGAGCACTTTTCATACTCTCAGCCTGAATTGATAGGAGAGATTTAGTCCGTTTGCTCTTTCCATTGCCCTCAGTACTTACTTTGTTTAGGGTACAAACTTAAGCAGCAAACTGCTCATATCAGGCTCTGAAGGGCTGGTAAAATACCACATTGCTGACGAACAAATGTTTACAGTCAAATCACAGAAAGATGTGGGAAATAGCTAAAGAGTTGTAAACCAAAACAGTGTTGGGATGCATGACCTGTCGTACATATCCCCTTACAGGTGTGTGTACGACACAAAATACAGTTGTGTCCAATGTTCTTTTAGTTTTTTCCAAATAATTCAGTGAAGACAACTTGATCCTTCTGAGCCGACTATAGATATAAGACCCCATAATATAAAATATGATCTGATTGGACTGTAATATGACCACCATACTTTAATTAAGTCCCTGGATTGAGTCACATGATGGTCATTGAAGAATTTGACAGAGGAACTTCGACGCATTTAAGTCGTTTTACGAATATTTTATTAGCATGTTATTGTGATAATATGTTTTGATCATTTCTCGTGAGGTTTAGATTATGTTCAAGTCTAATTTGGGTTTGAATGATCAAAATTTCTGTACTTCTAAGTAAGTTAAGTTGTGTTTTTAATGGACATATCTTGAACTTTTAGCGTTAGGGTCTTACTTTTGCGGAACTAAATGGTTTACAACTGTGGTTATCAGACTTTTCGCTGTCCTAAGGATAAGAACTAGATGAAGTATAAAAAAGTTACATTTCTCCTCACTGCTCTTTCAGATGGTTAAGACACAGGAGCGAAGTAGACAATGGAAAGAATAAATTGTTCTTAAACAGGGTTCACACATTTATTAATTTACCACCTTTCTCAAAAAGCTGAGTGGAGTAGAGGTGTTTTTTCATTTCTATGTTAAAGAGCTTATACATTTCATAGATATTATAGAAACTCAGGTCCATCCGTAACAGTTGGGACTGTGCTTTCTTTCTCTCACCCACTGAATAAAAGGTATGTTGAGAAATGCATGCAGCCATTGGGGATTAGATCAATGATAATCAGCCACTAAATTGAATAAAAACAGCAATAAATGTGTCCATCACTCACCAAATATGAATGGTTCAATCAACACAAATAAATATTGGTTTCCAAATGGGAAAATATGGAATAGATCTCTTCTGAGATGCTGGGGGTTTGTGTGCCCAACATATTGATTTACAGATCTGACCAGCTCACTCTTATAACTGTCAAGAGAGTTGCTTTCAACTTAAACAAATTCAGAGTTAAGCAGATCGGATTACATCTACCTAGTTGATAGATTTTGTCAGTGATTCATCAGAAATATTGGGGGAGAGAGAAAGCAAGGGTGTGCTGCTCATTTTCAATATATGCTATACCACAAAAGTGCTTTAAAAAAATCAGTTAAGACTGATGCCTGCTGGGTCATGTTTAGCACACGTTTTGTTGGAAGCATCTCTTGCTGCATCCACAGGGATTTGATAACCCTCAGCTCACATCATTTTGGCTTCGGAGTTTCTCTTTTTTCTAAGACTCAGCCATGATAGAACGATCAAGCTCAGCTTCAACGGAACTCTGTTTGTTCTATAAGTCGTTTACAGCATAAGCATTGCATTTTTTATCAGCAAGTCACTTCCTTTTAAAAAGTGAAACTGTGTATCGACACATCAAAAACAAGTCTCATGTAGTTTTTAAACCTGCCTGCAGCACAGACACACGAACAACCTGGGAAAACGCAACGAATGGGAAATTAAAGTTTGCAGCTTGGAGGACTTGTTGGTGAGAATAGTACGAAATAAGTATTTCAAAATCATTTTCTCTCATTCTCTTTATATAAATACATTTATATTCTCATATATGTATATATACTGCACGCAAAGGTAAAACATGTTTATTAACAGTCAGTGAAATTTGATTTATAAAAACTTTATGTCGACATTGACTACTCAAGAGACAGATGTGATGAAAGAGCTGTGAATTTATCTTTATATATCTGAGAACACATTTCAATCAACATGCAAACTAGCATCCATCAATAGATAGACAGTTTACAGATATTTTCTTTTTTTTTTTTAAAAACAGCACCATCTAGTGGATCAAAAGAGATAACACACACACGTATGAAGAATTTACAGTACTGGCTTTTTACAGTACAGTAATGGCTTCACTGGCTTTGTCAGGAGGATTTTACTTAACAGAAAGCTTCAGCAATCACAAGCATAAAAAATTTGCTGTGAGATAGCAGGAGTTGATCTTTTAAGTGCAACACCAGTGCTAAAGAAGTCCTGACCTCTCATCTGACTGTTCAAACAGCGTGTTATCTTACAAAAGTAACATTTGGATGTACAATAACCATCCAGTGTCAGTCCCTTGTTGTTGAACCCATATTTATTGAGTTTGTATACATACTGGCTGGTGCCTTATTTCTTTATAACTTTATAATCAATACTGTGCACTCATATTCGCAAACATAAAACATGTTAATTCTGTACTCATTCTATCTTCATCGTCAATACTGTTATTAATAAATCAGAATCAGAAATACTTTAATAATCCCAAAGGGAAATTATTGAGTGACAATACTGTGAATTTTCACATTGTGGGACTAATACAGTACTTTCTTATCATAATTACTTCTGTAATTTGATTTGCAACTCAATTAACAACAATCAATATTCTCAATTTGAAGACAAAACTTTAGCTTGGAATTAAATCTGTACTTCCTGTCAGTGAGGGTCATCAATGGCCTGTGTGAAGTGCTCTCCGGTGTACAGGCCGTAGTGGAGGGTGTCGTTCTGGGCTGCGGCCCAGGCCATCTGCAGACTGGAGAAGCGAGGAGCCCAGTTGCCTTTGGGGTCCACTGTTACAACCCCGCCGATCCCCCCGACTCTGGACTTCATGTAGGCCAGGCCCAAGTCGCTGGCCGCTTCTGCTGACTGACCTGAGAACGGAAAAAAGAGAAGCTTGTAGTTAACACGATGCGTTTTTAAAAATTGTGTCTCAACTCTGAAAGGTTCTACACGGATGATGTGTATAAAACAAGCTGCAATAACACCCAAATCCGGGCTGCCAGAAAGAAAGGAGACATCCTTTTTTTTTTTTGCGGTGGGAACGAAGAACAAATGTTTCTGAGTACGTACAGGCTGCTAATTCTGAGGAATAACTAGAGACAGACTAGAGGTGAATTGTTAGCTAGACTGAAGGCTGGATGTATTGTATATGTATTCATGCATTTGGCAGACGCTTTTATCCAAAGCGACTTACAGAGTAGAGAGGAGCTGTATTGGCCGGGAATCGAACCCAGAATCATGGAAGTAGATAGATACAGTAATGGGAGTATGTCAGCTTGATTTGAGCATGTTTTCAAGTCCAACAGCTGAACCCTCTTTTGAAAAAGGTTTTTGTTCTAATATGTGAAATTATTCAGGACAAATATTGACCTAATCCAAACTCCACACTAGAAGCAGATCAGTTTGCGAATTTAACGAATAAAGATGAAGGAGTGAATGATGAGCTTCTCCCTCTCTTCCTGTTTTCTGCTGACCCGCGACAGTACAGATCAGTTTAATATTGCCGTCTGCCTCTTTCTGACCATACTTCATATTACAGTACTGCACATCAGAATCTCCTGGACAACAGGGATGGAACAGCTCCGATGTCTTATTGTATTGACATATATACGTTTGAACTGAACGCAAACCAAAAATCCGTTCTTTGTTCTACTAGTGCTGCTCTCTGTATGCGCGCGCATGTATTACCTTGCTCCATGTGGAACAAGATGAGTCTGGCCAGTGTGACTTTCATGATGGTTTCTCCGTGTCCGGTAGTCGACACTGCTCCCACCAGATTGTCGGCGTAGCCTCCGCTGCCTGACAAAAAAATAGCACGTCACGTTCTCAGGACATAGTCGGGTTTATATATAACGCGCGTTTGGGTTTCCTATAACCAGTGACAAAAATGCCCTCGAAGTTCACGAGCTAGTTACTATCTGTGTTTGCGGTGACTGATCACATCTACAGGCAACAGCTTTAAAATGTTCATCATATGCATATAGAAGGTATTTTATCACCACTCAATTTACCACAAATGTTTCTTGTGAAGCTGTGAATGGTTTAGATGTGGAGATTCGAATGCTGTTCTTCCCACTCTTGCAGCACAGGGGATCTGTAGTGAAGAACCCAATTGCGAAACAGGACGTCTCAACCAACTACTTACTCCTTGTGTACAAGTCTCTTCATGGGCAAGCACCAAAATATCTTTCTGACATGTTAGAGCCATATGAACCAGCTCGGACTTTGAAAGCCTCAGGTTCTGGTCTCCTGCTGGTGCCCATAGTCAGAATTAAACAAGGTGAAGCTTTGTTTCAGTTCCATGCTCCTAAAATCTGGAACTGTCTTCCTGAAGATCTGAGACAGGCTTCAACTCTGACAGTGTTTAAATCCAGGCTGAAAACGCTTCTGTTTAACTGTGCGTATGAAAATGTAACGTATTTCACTTCACTTTTTCTTGTTTTTGTGCATTTAAATTCTCTGTGAAGCACTTTGAATTGTCTTGTAAACAAAATGTGCTTTACAAATAAACTTGCCTTGCCTATTACTGACAAAAACAAGAACGGACGGGATCTAAACGGCACAATAGCATCCACTTGTGGAGATAACGCTTCACAAAGTGGGCCTCTGCGCAATCTGAGAGTAGAAATCTCCTGTTACAGCTCTCTTGATGCACCAACAGAATCAACGGATCAACTTGTTGGTTGGCTCTGATCATCTCGGATCACCATTGTAATAATTTATACCTGACCCGATGCTCCCGTTAGCTTTACCCTAGCTGCCATGTGTGTGGGTTGTCCTTAAAAACATGAGACTAGCTTGCTTTCACAGTTATCACTGATTATCCAGCTAACTGAAAGACTTTCCTTTTTCTAGCCTCCACCAGAGGTCTGGGCAGTGTTACAAAGAAACATGGACGCCAATGATAATTTGTTATGGCTTTCTTCCTTTACAAAAACGTTTGACACCTTGTTATTTAACTGTCAGAATATCTAGTTTTGAAAAAAAGTGATCTATGACTGAGAATAAAATGTCTTTAAAATATCCTGCAAAGAAAAAAAAGTAAGCTCCCACACACTATTTTTTTAAAACGAGCAATTACACACGCTTGATGTGTTTTTTTGATAATCTCTCACACAGATGCACTTCAGCATGAATTTTACATGATGGGTTCATGATGCTTCAGCAGAATTCTCTTCAAATGTGCTGCTGTAGGAGGACACTCCTACTGTGTCAGTAGCAGTTTGTCAAACTCTTACTTTGTGTCCTCAGACAACGTTTTCACTTGAAGTTTACATTTATTCTGCAACTGTGATTACATTTTTTTTCCCCCAAGAGCGATCTGGCTGCTGAGTCATGACACTGTAATCAATCATGTAATGGTAGTGACATTTTAGACAGGCCCGCCACACGGGTCAAAACCCCATGCTAACGTAACTGGAGTATAATTTAACCGTTGTATACACATGGGGCTTGTCTATTGGTACCTACTAAGCCCTAATCAGCTCTACTTGCCTCGTCACAGCTCGGTTTAGGTTGACAATATTTAAATGGGACACTAGCGAGTGACAACAATGGAGGCCGTCGTGGCAACGATAAAGTGCTGAATGTCGGTGTTCCACGGCAGTGTTGGCTCAGCCATTTACAGCACTGGTGATCACAGACATAAAGGAAAATTGTTGTCGCAGCGTCTTTAAAACAGGCGGGGTTCTAGTGAAGGACCCGCTTTCATGACAGCATCCAGTCCTATCAGCTCTCTTTGAGAAAAAGAAAGGCAGAAGCCCTGAATTATTTCACTATGGTTATAACCAGAGGCACACTAGTTTAGTGAAAAACTGGTAAACTGATTTGAAAAAACAATGATCCATTCATCATGTTGAATCTTTATAAAGTGTTAATTATAAAACGACATATTGCAACAAAGTTTAAATCCCTTTTTGTTATTTATACTGGACTATTTAATTTAAATTGTGCCTAATTTCGGGTTTAAAAAAAGCAGAAATTATTTAGAATTTGACTATGGACAAAGCAGAGGCACATATGTGGATGTTTTATCTCACTTTAGTCAGGAAGTATTTGTTCAGACTATTTACATTTTCTTTGAATTGCACCACAAAGTTTGTATGGCACCATCTATCCAATCTTAAATTAATTATACGGAAATGAATGATGAGGGTAAACAATAAATGGTAACTGCTAAGTACTCTGTTTTAAAAAAAAGTCTCACTTTTTACTTTAAAGAAATTTCTAAATGTAAAAAGTATGATTATGTCCCATGTACCAACAATAGGAACAGGAACTCATAAGCAACACTGCTTATGAGTAAAGATCCCTTTTGATTATTGACTAAATTACTAACTACACATATAAGACGCCCAGATCAAAGTTCAGCAACCTGGTGCAAAAATGAAAAAAGACCCGGTTAAAAAATTTAAAAAAACTCCTAAGAAGGATCGGGTACATTTACAAAAGTATGTCATTGCCAACTACAGGCGAAAAGACTGACCTATGCACGGGGTGTCACCCACCCGACCCTCCATCTTGTTCAACATTCCACCAGTGGAAGTTGCACACGCTACGTTACCCTCAGCATCGACTGCCACTGCGCCAACTGTGCCCATCTTCCCCCTACACAATAAAAAAAAAAGCAACTGCATGATGCCTGAAATGCTGTAGGGTACGCTGAAAAACAGGAAATATAAAAACATGAACAATTTAACATATGTTTGATATCTTTAAACTCTTTCCAATCTGGGATAATTAGCCCAAAAAACACATTCAAGACATTCCGCCTGGGCAAACTTTCTGAGCAAGGGATATTTTTCAAATTGTTTTAGTGAATCTAGCTGTTTTAATACACAGTTTAAGTTCCAAGGTTGAGGATTTAGTTATAAAATCTGAATTTTATAAAAGCTGGGAATGATTCAAAATGCTTTTGCTAACCAAACGTTGGTATGCAGTCCCATTGGGTAGATTTTATTCTCAGTTTCTGACATTTAAGCTGTTTGACAAAGGAAAAGAGGGTAAAAAATGCCAATGAGGACAGTTTTACTGGAGAAATCCCATGGAATGGGATGGATTTCAATAGAACTTGTAATGTAATTTCATGGTAATCTTTAGATAAGATGGCCAAAAAGTGTAGGAAATAATTTAATAATAATTTAATTTGTTGTTCTATACATATTTAGAGTGCTTTCCCTTTCTGTCTTCCCAATGTTAAAATCCCTCTCGCCTACAGCTGGGATCAAATGACATGATCAAATATGCAAATAAGGTGATGGTGTCATCAAAAAACTGCTAACGACTTTTAGTACAGCAAATGGCTCCTTTCCTTATTGAGGAGTACATAGGTTCTTCTGAGCCCTGATAGATAAAAATGCACGTAAAAAGAATGTTTTTAGCCAGACCGCTTTTGTGTAATGTAAGCACATTGGTTGTACCAACAGTCCCCACACTTTTATGCTTTTAATTTAAAAAAATGTTTTTTTTTTAATACAACAAGCAGGCAGCCATACAAACACACTGCTCTCTAGTAGAGCACAGGTATTTGAAGCAAAACATATTATAAGCCTCAAAGAGGGACATATATCTCACATTTGGCACTCCACAGGGTTAGCGTCAGGTACCAGGTTCTTTTTCCAGCGCATCCTAGAGTAGTCAGTGATGAGGGACTCCTGGGGCACCTCGGGGACACCCATGGACCGAGCAAACTTACTGGCCCCCTCTGCGGTCAAACACGCGTGACTGGTCTGAAAGGGTTGAAGATGACACGCGTAAGCCGAGGCTGTACACGACCACAAAGCAGATTCACTCTTGGAAAAAAAACTCAGTCATATAGACACTTCCTGCTTTGTCTCCTCAGTCTATCTGTTGTGTGTTATTTTGGTTAATTCCAAAAACAGTGTGTTTGCACTTCGAAGTTAAAATTCTTCTAAGTATTATGAGTTCATTTAAAAATATTAGGAACAGGGTGTACCCCGCCTCTCTCCCAACGTCAGTTTGGATATGTTCCCGCTCCCCAGAGACCCGACTAGGAATGAGCAGTATGGATAATGGATGGATGGAAGGAACAAGCCATCATCAGGCCTACGTACTTTCTCCATGACCAGTCTTGCCAGTTGAACGGGATTAGCTATGTTCCGGACTGCGGACACTGCACCGCTTGCAAGTGTTTTCCCGTCCATCACAATGGCGTCCATCTCCACCTCCCCGGTAATGTTCAACACTGAGCCACAACCTGGAATCAGACATTTTAAGAAGTTATTTGTTTGATTTTCTTATCTAAGGGAAGCATAAATCTGCTCTTATTATTTTTCCTCTGAATGTAGTTGAATAAAACTCAAGATAGGCTTTTTTTTTAAACCACAACACACACTTGTGTACTACTAGAAAGAGTGAGATTCTAAAACAAGGGCAAAAAATTCTAATTCAAATTTTGAATGGAAGTTCAACATAAATGGTGAAGTTCAATTTAGCTTTTAATTGTATTCGTTTAGGACAGAGAAAATGAAAAAAACCACTTCCATACAGATGTGCTAATAGCTTACTCATAATTCAGAGTAAAAATGGGTGACTGTCTAAAGGACAAAGTGTTTTTTGGAGGATACAGAGCCGAATTTAGGGAGAAAATGCAAAAACAAAGTACTCTTTTTGCAGCTCTGTTAAATACTGCAATTATAGAGCTACATATGCAGGAATTTCCTATGTACAAACTGGGGAGTGTGTGTATTGCTACTGCCAGTAAGTTAGTTCTTATTCGAGACAATCAATATTACCTTAAGTTAACTTTTTTTTTTTTAATACCTGCATTGAAGGAAGGGTTGTTCTCCAACTGAGTCACAGCCTCAACAACAGCATCCATACTGCTGCCCCCTCCCTGGAGGACCAGATACCCTGACCGTGCTGCCGAGCACACCCCCGATGTGGACATCTGGGACCGCTCCTTCGGGATTTGGCCAGCTCCTCCATGGACCAACACTACCGGTAACATTTCAGTCACCTGAGAAAGAAGCTTCAATTAACAGACAAAAACTTGTTATTCAGCAGAGAAAAATAAGTTTCTTCCTTTTTTGGGGGGTTTCATATCTATACTGAGATTAAACTCCAGGGGAGGTAAAGATTTTTTCCTAAGATGGGTCTCGGAAAATGGAGTTTCACCTCTCTGGTAGGGAAGGAGCCTGAGTTGATGTACAAGACGGAGAGGTTCTGGCTGGAAATGGTCAGATTTACCTCGATGCACGGCTCTGGTTCTGGAACTAGACTTGGGTCTCTTTTGTTCTCCTGGGGGACTTTAGTTCTTACGTGGACAATGACAGCGAGACCTGGAAGGGTGTGGTTGGAAGGAATGGCCCTTCCAGTCCCAATCCAAATGGTGCTTCGCCGAGATAATAAGTATGGGGAGATTTCAGAGAGACCATGGTAAACGACTTCCAGACGGCTTTGAGGCGATTCTAGTCCACCATCCAGTATATACATATACGAGTTATATATAATATTATATCAATTTGGGATTATGTACACTTTTACATATAATTAGAGTAAAACATTTTTATATAACTAAGATCAAAAAAACTGCCACGAGGTTTCACATGACTTCTGAAAAATTTAATTTGGTCACATTTTTTCCTGTTTAAAAAAGAGGCGAATTTAAATACATTTTTTAGAATGTGCTCAATACTGCAATCCAACTCGAAGTCTCGCGAGAGCTGCAGCAGGTGAAATAGTAATATTTTGTTGCTGGACGGAAGAACTACAGTATATCAAATACGAACAATCTGACAGTATTTTAAAAGTGTTTGAATGTCTCATAACAACAATTGAAGAGTTGCCGTTTATCGGGCCATGTGGTTAGGGCTTCGCTGACGTTTATAATACCCGTAAACGATTAAAAATGCTGCATTTATATGTGGGAGTTTGTTAAAACGGTTCGATAAATAACACAGTGAGAAGAAAAGCAACGTTTGTAAAAAACGTTAGCAGTTTTTCACTCTCCTGGAGCGTCTAAAGTCCACCTATTTGAATGTTTTTTATAAGCTCTCCGACACTGTTTCAATGTTATAGCTACCAAGCGATGAGAACACAATTTTCTACAGGCATATTATATCAGGAATGTATTTCAAGAATATTCGAATAGCCGAAGGATTTCTCTCTTACCAAAATATCGCCCCAGGATTAATAAAGTTAGCAAATTGCGACAGAACGTCCAGGTTCACCAAAGACACTTTCAAAATAAAACCCTTAAAAAAAACATTCTGCTAACGTGCTACATGCTAATTAGCAGGGCCATGCTTTTCCAATTCAAATATAATTTTGTTTAATTTTTCAGTTAGTTAATGTAAACTTGAAACAGAATAAAATTACACAGAAAATTAATATATTACATTGCATTTATTACATTTTATCATCACATTTAGTATTACATATGTATCATTACATTTATTACATATTGAAATGATAAATTCCTAATGAATAGCATGATAGTTTATGTAGTTTTATAATGTAATTCACAGCATCATATATTCTATATTGTTATTTTTGGTTCCTTACACACAGGTGTGTTTTGCACACCTGGATAATTCCGTGGAGTTTGGACGCCAAAAGTTTGCCTGTTGTGTTTGCTACGAGAATATTTGGGTACCAGTCAATTTGGTGAACATAAAGCATTATCTTCAAAAAAAAAAAAAAGATTAACAGGCTCTTATTTTGAATCCTATTTGGGCTGGTTCCCGTCTTCTAATCAGGGGGCCAGTTCTTTGATGATAAAACACGATTGGTTTACATCACGTGTTACTATCTTCAGATTACTGGAGCTTTCAGGAAGTCTTTCAGGAAGATTATGAAATTATAGTTTTTCAATGTGTTTAAGGCAGACTTGTGTTATGGACAATCGTACACTCACAAATTTACACAGCAACGAATTGAAATACAAATCTCAACCACAAATGGTTTCACTTTATTGGGGAACCTAATTACACAAGCTGGAGTAGCATAGTACCTCATCTTGCTCTCTTTGTGCTCTTAATACATCTTAGTACAACCAAATTTCCATTAAACCACCCACATTTACATTTTATTTTGATTGACAGTTAAATGAAATAAATCTCCAAAATATAGGATGAATAATGGCTTGTTAAGATGACCTGTTTTCCAATGGTTTCTTCTCTACTTTTAGATTCTCAGCCTGTTTGAGCACTATATCATCCGACAAACCCACCTTTAATTTAAGTTGACGAAAACATCTGTGCTGCAATTTGTCATTTTCCCTCCGAGAAAATGCTGGAAGTGGCAGAAGGTCTCTGCTGCTCCACTTCTCCCCTCTCTGTCATTGCTGTTGCACAGCATCTGCAAGCGTCAGCCTGCCTGCTACAGGCTATCGCATTCTTATTTGACCATAAGGTGCACATTCTCGGCGGTAAACAAGGTCCTATCTGCGAGCCAAAAGAACATTTGTGATTGTCTTGTCTCTGAAATCGCAAAAGGTTTGTGCAGCAAATCGAGGTTTATTTGCCCGGGGCTTGTCTGGAGGAGGAAACAAAAGTGAGAGAGGGTGCACAACAGATGCAGGCTTCCCGTATGACTTGGTTATTCCTCTGAAACGCCCTCTTCTGATCTGCAGAGACCTGCATGCATCCCAGAGTCTAATGAACCACATTCTGAGTGTGAGCTGACCATGGTGCTGAATTAAAACTCATGAAATAACAGAGCTGGTTTCGATGGTTATGATGAGAGTGTGTTGTAACTACATGGGGCTTGATAAATATAGCCAGGCTAACTTTAGAGTGCAAAACATCCTTTAAAAACACACATTTAAAGTACATTTCTTTGTAAAATTGATGTTGCCTAGGTTGGTGTGATCCTCAGCTCCCGTCTCTCTGTTAATCTTCTGTATCTGATTTAAACTGTTCCAGAATCCCAGTGCAGGTGACACAGGCTGTTATTAAGAATGTTGCCCGCAGACATCCTGCCAGTGTCAGCATATAGTCATGCATGTCCCTGTAGCAGATAGCAATGCATGTGCGTGGCCATAAAACCTCAGGCTCCCTTCAGATTGCTTTTTCGACATGAGGAAATAACATGTGTGAGGACGGCTGAGAGGATGTAGTGAAAGGACCGAGGAGAGGAACATAGGAAGAGAGGGGTGGGAGGAAGGAGAAAAAAGGGGATGCACGTCATTCTAGCACGCAATTGGTGGGAGAGGAGGAGAGTCCACACACTCTTATTACAAGGGGTTTGTAAAAGAAAAAGGTCCTTTGGATATGTGTTCATTTGATCCACATCTGTTCAATCAACACATTTCATACATTCTTTTAATTAACAGTAATATCAAAATTAAAATATCTGCTGTTTTGTTTAAAATGTGAATCTAATTTAGTTATATCTTGCTCCTTGTAATATTCAAATAATACTCAGATAGAAAAAGAATAATTTAACATCTGATACAGGCTATGTACAGCTTACCTCATGAACATAGCAGAACAAATGGATGGACAAATAGATGGATATCAGACTTGAGTTTGTATAATTGATAAGATTGCTTCACTGTGTAGACTTTGAAGCATCAACAGAGTTACTGACTGCAATGAGATGAGTAGAATCATGCTTCATCCTTCTCCATCCAAATAGTGGAAACAGTGATGGTTTAAAAAAATGTAGAAGATTAAATCTGGCTCCATGGGATTGAGTGGAAAGCATGAGGTGGACCTAACCCACCCTTTGAATACAAAAGGTCTAGCTGTAAATACAATGTATTAATTTTCCTGCTTTTCTGCAAAATAATTCCTTGTAATTATGAAATAAGAGGCGAGTAACACTGGATTATAGTCACAATTTTGAACTATAAATTATTACTTTGTATATTATCCTGGTCCATGATTCTCAGGTGGATTCTATTGGACCGTTTACATCACTCTGACTTTGAGCTGTTTCTTCTAAGCTTTTAAGCATCTCATAAGTCAACGACTTAAAAAATAAAATTATATTGAGACAGAGCAATGTATAAAACGTGAGGGCAGTTGAATATCAATTGTTAAATTAAGTATATGTCAAATAAATTCATTCTGGTTGCTCAATAAACAGCTTTATCAAGAATTTGGAGGACAATTCTGAAGCTAAAAAGATAAAAATGAGATAAAGTGAATAGATAAAAACAAGGCACAACAAAGAGGTACTTTCATAAGTAAAAAATGTTATTTTGACTGGTGTGTGTTTTAAGTTTTAAAGCCTCAGTATAACTGCAAATTGCTCATTTAAACATAAATAAATGGATTAAAGGATTCTCCTTGGTTATAAAACCTTTGAACTGACACCTTTTTTGGAGTTCTGCTCCCAAACCCCTATACCACGGACCCTTGAGGAACCCTTCATTTCTGTGTGTGCCACAGAAAACGCCGTGAGCGCGCAATCTTAACGGTGAGTGGAGCCCCCCATTCTCAAATGCGCGCTCCCGCCGAGCTGGAAAAAAAAAAGAAAAAAAAATGTGCACGCGCTCGAAAAGGGGGCTGCGGTTCCCATTGACGGTTTCGTCTCCCTGACAGCAGCATCAGCATCAGCATCGGGGGGGAAAACAAGAAGTTACCGCCTCGCCCTGCAGCCATAAAAGCCGGCCGCTTTCGGGACCGAACGGAGACCCCCTATAGGAGCCTTGACAGAGACCCTCCACCCACCCCACCCCA